CAAGCACAGAAATCAATAGAATGTTAGGAGCCCTGGTAGGATTTAGGAGTCTCTGCATCTATTTGGATGTGCTTCAGCTGTCCTACTGCTTCCATTTAGATAAATGATTAACGCCTATTGATTCCAATGAGGTAAAATCTACTTCAGTGTTCCTATGTGATCATGAGTAAGCCACAAAAAATAAACTTTTTTACTGGTGTGAGTAATTTCTGGTTAGTTTCAGGCAGCTCTCTTCTGGGAACAGTAAATGAAGTGTTACAGAAGTGTAAGTGACCCAAGCTGAGCAGTGAGAAATAATGTGCTCTTTATGGTTTGACTTCAGTCTTTGTTTATCATCTTTCATACAGAGATTTGTCACTAACACTTCTCAGACGATTAAAAACTGCACTTATGGACATTGTAGAAGTGGATTATTTCTTATGATCTAAATGGTAAGTGGGGAGTAAGGTATAGGAAATGCACGTTGAATGATATCAAGGGAAAGAAATATTGCCCATCCAGCCATTCTGTAATCATCATCCATCCTTGCAAGATCTTTATTAAACTTGCCCTCTCTTGATGATTTAAACAGTCAAGATTACTTCCCAGTGCTCTGATCCCAACTATCGACTTTCAGCTAATGCAAAAGAGTACATTTCCTTTTTTATATGATACTTTCCAGTGCAAATCTTCTAGTGTCATCTTGATGCCTTTATAAAACATTCTTCCGGTTATTGTTTTTCCAGTTTGTGTGGTTGAGAGATACTTATCAGTCACCACAAATTTAAGGTCCTGCGATTAATCCTTCTTTGGCAGGAGACTTGTGGGTTTACTTTATATCCACTGACTTCAGTCTTGAGCTGCAATTTTCCCACCACTTTTCTTGCGTCTTACTCAGTTTGGGCAGGTGGTCCAAAAGAGAAGGGATAAAATTGGCCGTGTATCTTCTGTGAATAAGGGTACCAGAGATTAAAACTGACTATGTAGTATAGTATACTACATAGTATATAGTTTATTACCAACTGTCAGCAGTTTAGATTTCAGGAGTCCATTTACTAGTGAGTAATTTGTTTTCATTAGTAGTGTTTAAATGACTGTGGGCTATAATAGCTGGAGTACCACTTATGCAGTGGTTTGTTTCTGTCATATAAGCTTTCCTTTCCTATAGAAATACCAGAATTGCCGTATGCAAGAGGCCATTGGAGTGTAGTGTTTGGTATTATGGTCTTCCCTGATTTCCAGCAGTGTTTAGTACCTTCTGTTTGAGGGAGGAAAGGTAATCATGGGACAACCTGCATCCAAAGAGTACCCTCTTTAACTCCTGGTATTAAAGGTCGGTGGTTGCTCAAACTTGAGAGCTTACACATCTTACAAAGCTCTTGGAGATTTTTGTTGTTACTTTTCTTTCACAGGGCTTACTGTTACAACTGGTTAGCCTTCTCACTGTAAATATATGTTTTGAAGCCACTGAGTTTGTGGTATATCTCCTGGATATGTTATATCTTGTTTTGTACACAGCTTTTTTTTTTTTTTTTTAAAGTGTATTCATGCAATTTTGTATAGGCCCTTTTAGTCTTCCTCTTCTAGTTGAAATAATGCTGTGTCGTCTGTATAGGTTTTTTTCTTTTCACTTTTAAAAGCCAGGTTGGGTGGCGTGATTAATTATTGACAAGTTAAATTGATATCTGTCTTTAGCTGAAAGTTAAACTGGAATTTTGTCATTAAGGAAGTATACTTACAAGTCAGCAAGAATACTTTTTAAAACACAATGTTTGTGAATAAGTTTTTGAACTGAGAACTTAGTACTGAAGTGGAATGGGCTTCTCAATTTGTTAATGGACTAAGACAATTTAAATCCTCTTCACTAAATACAGAGTGAAAGCTTCATGATAGAGGTAAAACTCAGTTTAGAAAAGGATAGAAGACTAGTAGCAACATGAGTAAGGCAGAGACTGTAGGAATGCGCTCCGCACCTTCCATTGTATTTTATAGAAAATCTGTTATATTTTAAGGATTCACTTTAAAATGGGAGAGTTTAGCTTTTCGCTAATTATAAAAACTACAAATTTGAACAGTGTTGGCCATTGTAGTATTGAAATATTGCAATGACACCATGAAATGTGTTGTGAGCAGAGTTTTCATAGCCTATTTACAGTGTGTTACATCAGTTTCCCAGAAAAATAGACAAGTCAGGTGGGGGAAAGGTGGTGGTGGGAAAAGCAGTCAGGCCAAAGCTATTACCTACTGCCAGAGAAGCAGAAATGCTCATTTTGATTGACATGACTTCCAGTAAACTTTGTCATAAAAAGTGGAGGAAAGAATGAGACATGACAGTGAGTTGATAAGTGCTGTTCATCTTCACTCTTCTTAATGCTTGCTTACACTTCTTCGGCAGTGTTGAGCTCTTGTCCACCCTGGCATCCCTAGGAGATGTCAAGAGTTTGTTTCATCCTGTGCATGCCCGTGCCCCTTGCCCCCAAAGAGCTGGACCATTGCTTGTTTGGAAGATGTGTGTAGAATCTGCACCAGCCTTATCTGTAACAGCTCTGCACAGTGATCAGTAGAAATCCTAAAGCGCCCAGGAGATAGATGATGCTGTCTCAGTTCTAGTCGTGGAAAGTAAAAAGCCTTTCCATGATTCAAGGGAAACCACCTGTGGTCTGTAGTCTTGTGTTTGCAAACCCTCCCTTTGGCCAATTTAGTGGGTAGGTTCCATGCATCTGTGACACAGTGTGTACAATTTGTTGTCTGATAGTAACATGGAGGGTGAAGGCATCCAGTATGCACCATCAGCTTTCTTTGAGCAGTTACCACATGTGCAAAGTTGCTGAATTAAAGCAGCAGTGCTTTAAGCAGTCACCTCCTGAAACAGATTCCTTGAGAGAAATTGTTCAAGGAGAAATTACACTTGACTTGACTGTGAAGTAACACGCAGGAGGTCATTTAAGAAGTAACAATATCTGAGCCACTAAGTAATAGTGACCACAGTATAATTGCATTCTGTATCCTCAGGGAGAAAAAGATATAGAGAACCACAACAGAATTATACAAAGTTGAAGGGAGATTTGAATTAAGTGAAGTGCATTAACAAGGAATTTTAGTTGTGGTATTTTTGCTTTTTCTGACAAAGTAATATGGTTATATATTATGTGGAAGGTATTTAAGGTTATTAGCAGAAGTCATAAATAGATAAGAATAAAATTAGAATCAGGGCTATACAAAATAAAATAACAAACATCAATGGGTTACTTATTCAATGAGGGTTATATTGCCATGAGAGGAGCAACAGATGACAGCATGCAGTGAGAAGGAGGTATTAATGCAGTTGAGGTGGATTTCTAAGAATAGCCGTCCACTGTTCCATACACTGAGACATACTGTGAAACTATTTCACTTATTCAAAACAAAACTTTCAATATTGAGAGAAACATTAAAATATAGCTGCAGGTGATATCAAAGCTGATAAAACAGGTTTTCAACTGTCATATTGTAGTATTTTCTTGGGTTTCTTGTTTTACATTAATATATTGCATTACTAATTGTTTATTAATAATATGGAAATTACCATGCACAAACTTAAATCACCATTGTTCGAACTGAGGTTGACAGTGTTACCCAGTTTGAAATAGATAACAAGTAAATATTATTTCATGAAGAAGCAAAACCAATTCAAGAATTCAATATTTAAGTTGTGTTGTAAAATGGTACCCCTACTAAGATATAGATCATTGGTGTGCTGTAACTGTGCTTGCATATTTTGAAATGCCTATGTTTCTAATGTTTGTGTTCCAAGGAATGAAATATCAGAATTAAAAGATTCTCATAATATTTAGTATACTTAAATTATCTTTATTTATCCTTTGTACAGGGACTAATACTATTAGCCGTTAAGCTTCTATTATGGTTTGAATTTTTGGAGCCGTGCAGTGGATCATTAATCCAATTGAACTTTTTGCAAAAGCAGAGAGACTTACTCTTTGTAATGTTAATGACTTTGGGATGGATTTTATAGCTCTGCGTTTCGCTTAATTTTTCTGCATTTCCTCCATTAACAAAAGAAGATTGTGAAGTGGCAAAAAGAGAATCGTGCAGTAGCAAGAAAAAAATGTTCTCTGTGTTGACTTATGCTATATGGCTGGATATTTAGACAATGTCTAGTTGCAAAGGCAGTAATGTGTAAAAATATTTTATTTGTTTATACCGATTGAATTTAGGATCAAGTAACAAGAATTTTCATTTATTGCTATTGTGTTGTTATATTTTCAATTTTGGTAGCTTTGTTCAATTTACAATAAAAAGTTAATCCTATCAGCTTCGCTGTTTGGGTAACAAGGGGGAATGGCATAATCCAAATGAAGGAACAACATAGATGCAATTGCTGCTTTTGGTCCCGAGCTGGCTCACATCTTGACTGAGCCCTTTGGAGCCTTTGGTTTTGCAAAGCCTTGCTGACGGGTAGCACTATATGATGCAATTGTGCTAGCTCTGGTCTGCAGGTGCTGTAGCTTCATTCCCACAGTGCTGTGCCTAAGTCAGTAAGCTGTGCTGGTCCTGAGCTAAGCAGTTTGAAAACCACTCCTCTGTCTCCGCATAGAGATCATGGTATATCTGTAATCCAGGTGACCCAACATAAAAAGTGGAGAATTACTAGTAGTGGCTGTGGAACTGAAAGATGGTCTTCATTTTATTTTGCACACAAATTTAAAAACAGTTGGCAACTGCAGACATGGCATGAGTGCTACATTGCTATCACTTCTGTATCACACTTGCTCAGTTGTAAAGAGTAAAAAGATGGAAAATTTTACGAACTCCTAGTCTGATAGCACTTTAAAGGACAGATGATTTTTTTTACCCACTGCTTCAAGAGACAGTCTTGTTCAATGTGTTCCTGTTGTTATTGCTTTACATACTCTTTCATATGTATTATAGAGCTGTAAGTTTAGCAACAGAAAAACGTTGATATTATGATGTAACAAAAAATGAGTTGTGTTAATTTCTTTTGTTCCATCATTACATTACAGGTACTGTAAGAATTGAAATGTTCAGGAACATGCAGAATGCAGAAATCATAAGGAAAATGACAGAAGAATTTGATGAGGTATAGTACACAAAGTGCTTTAAACATTATGAAATATATTACATAATATACTTTTGTTTTAAAATAAAAATGCAGTGGGCAAGAAACCAGCGGATAAGCAATGTCTCAGTATGAGAAATTGCATTGACAAGCAAAGCAACGATTTAAACTATTGGATGAGGAATAACAAGCCAGCCTGAACTTTAGGAAAGAATAATAATGGAAAACTAAAAAGTGATAAAATAATTTGAAAAGGTAGTTATAGTCACTCATCTTGAGAAGTCAGGGTCATGGATTGAGTAGGCCCTGGATACTGAAATACTGGTACTGAAAAGTTTGTGAATTAGCCAGTTTAAGGGCATAAGTGTACTGTCACACAAAAGCATGGAGCAAGCTCATATCTGGTGCTGTAAGAGAGCCTAGCCAGGTCTGACTCTGCAAGAACTAGCCTGGGTCCATGCTAGCCCTGCTCTGGATCCGTGTAGACCCTCATATATCTTTGTATGGCTTTAGGGATATCCTTGTCTGTCCCTATCCTGGGTATTAGCTTAATAAGAGGAGGCAGTAAGAAGAACTGTAGAAAGTTTTCTCATCCCACTGAAACTGGTGGTGGTATTCTGGATTCTGAAGTTCACCTCTTGGAACTGCCATCATACAACAAAGAACTCCAGATTCCTGAGACAGGACTGCAGGCTTGGCATTTGCAGCATTCTGCTCTGTTTTCTGTGTGCAAATTGATGCTTTGTTCATATGAAATGGCAATTTAAACCAAATAGTAACTTGATGTGAAAATAACCATTTTGGAACAGTGATACAGAAAGAAATACTCTTTCAAAAGATCTAAGCATTTTGTTTGAAACAAGTGCATTACAATTCAGATTGTGTATCTTCTGTCAAAATAAAAATAAAAATGTTACTAATGGTGAATGCTTTTTAGCTTTGAGATTTTTGAACTGTATTTTCTTTGATTTTTCATGTATAAAAACCTTAAATATTCTTGAGTGTTCATTTTGTTCAGTGATGAAAACAAGTGCTAAAACATGAATTTTCTATAGGACAGCAGTGTCTTTTTCTGACCAATTCTAAATGGAATGCCAAGGCTGTGATTCAAAAAGTTAAGCAGGAAAACTATAAATGTGAGCACTGTTCTTTTTAGGATTTTCTTCTGCAGGATTTCCTTCTTGTTCATGGCCTTGAACATGTTTAACTATGTACTTAACTGCGGCCATGTGGATGCTCGTTTTGCTGTATTCAGGTATTCAGTCATGGCCTTTGTGTACAGGTGGGTTAGGGTACAGTGAATAAAATTAAAGTGTACAATGACAAAAGAAAGGATTGTATCAATTCATGCTACATTCTGGCTAAATTAGCCAAGGTTAATAAAATGCAGTCAATTTTTACTAGTGTAATTTGAAAACAGAATTGGATATTGTCTTGGGTCTAGCCCCATTGTACAAAATAGAATGGCCAAGGCACTGTCCAAAAGCTAAAGATCATTGATTTTGCCCAAGGGAGGATTGTCTCACAGTTGGTGGAAGAAAGTATTTCTCAAAAAAACCTTTTCAAAAACTGTCAAACTTTTTTCTCAAAGGAGAAAAAAAACCTCTCTTATGCACAGTATGAATGTACATATAAGCAATATATCTCAAAGAACTACAGTTACTAGTACACACGCTTTCTTTCTGCATTACCTAAAACTTTTCAGAACTTTTACAGTTCTAACAGAAAGTTTCCGTTCTAGCTTCTGCCTTAACACTTGAATGGGTTTGTGAAAGAATTTGTGGGTCTTAATATAAAAGCATGAAATTGTTAGTCTTAGACCACAACCCAGTGAATATTTTGAAATCTGGAATAAACTCATACCCTGTTAGCAGTGGAAAACATTTTAGAATTTAGTGCAGTTTTCTACCAATGTTCATATATCAGATGATCACAGCATAGTAAGTTTATAATTTTTATATGACCTATTTCATATTATATGTTATATGACCTATGTTCATACTGCTAATCATACTATTTCAGATCGGTCTGTGTCTAGCAGGATGTCATAGTCACAACAAAGACCTGCCAAAATATAAGCTTTTAGAAAAAAAGCAGCTTACATTACTCTTCAGGGTAAAACATAACGAAACAAACAAAATCTTTCTTGGTCTTCAGCAGATCGTAACATTGCAATTGCGATTGGCATAGCACTGGTACACTTTTTCACCCTCTGCTTAGTGTCCACCAATTACAGACTCAGAACAACAATCATTTGTTTCTGGGAGAGCTGTTGGTAGCAGACACCATTCGCCAGTGACAGTCCTTTGACTAAAGGCAACACAAGCTAAATTCGGCAGATCTGCATGATCCTTCCCATCCTTTCTTTTCTTGCTGGAGAAAGGAGAAGAGAACCCAAGCAGATCTACTTCTTGCTTTCTTTCAGCAGTGCCGTTGGCTGTGCTCCCTGACTCCGTGCAGACCAACTAGACTAATTCCTTGAGCTCATCCTGCCACTGGATTTCTTTATTTTTTGTATGTCTATAGTAAGCAATGAAATGGAGCTAGAAGGAGACCAACAGTGGTCGCTGGGCTGAGTGGTCATCCATTTTCTCAGTAAAGCACCACCATTTTCTGCATAGCTGGGAACAGCCCTCAGTTATTCATTCTAAATATTGCTGTTGGCATTTCACCTGTAATACCTCTTCCAGTACCCCAGGACTCCCAAATCCCAATGTCCATCCCCCCGTGTCATCCTGGGAAAAGCAGTTGCCTAGGGCTGTTGCCACCAGAACATTTCCCTTGCCCTGCTGTCCTCTCATGCCCCTAAATCCCATGTCAGTCTATGAGAAGGTAATGGTCAGACTGTGTTGGGAGTGAAGGAGAATGAGAAAGTTTGTGACGCTCTTGTCAAAATAATTAAGACAGTCTATCAGCCTAACCCACTTTCAATGTCATCTTGATTGCCATTTTCAGATGGAGACTATCCCCTTGTCAGCCTATTTTCCTCCCCATATCAAAACGTACCTAAGATGCCAGGTCTGCTGTATCAGATTAGGGTTGAAATGGGCTAGTGCTCAGTGGGACGTGTGTAAGTGGTATAAAATACCTGTTGTCATATTTGTGACATGATAAATAATTTCTACAAGTCTAGACCTAATAGGAAAAAAAACAATACACGTGTAGTACTAGCTAGGGGAAAATCTTGTATTATCTATTCATTAGCACAATATGCTGCCCAGAAAATATCTTGGTCTCCATTGAAGATGCTCAGATTTGCTGCTTTCTTCACTTTTTCCTTGTTCTGTCAATGCTGCAGTAATCAGCTGGCTGCTGGTCCTAATTTCTGCATTTCTGGCAGGGATTGAGGCATTGATTTTCCTCATCATGAGTGGAGGAACACTTGTGCAGGACTTAAACGATGGAAATAACTTTGTTCGTTGCTGCCACAAGTTCAGTTTGAGACGGGGAATTCCACCGACATCCATCTGCTGTGCTATTTCAGTGCTTGGCATATGATTACAGGCATTTTGTAGATGAATTCCCTCGTAATTCTTGTGCTAGAGTTAGCAGGTGAACAAAAACTTGTTTTGCTTTGAGTTTTCTAACCATAGGACCATCAAGTATCACATGTCAGTGTCATTGATATATCACATTTTTATTGGTATTCGAGAGTAAAAGATCCAATAAAGTGGCTTTATTTTAAATTTATTCTTCCCATTTCAGACAGATGAGATGTTCTTGGTGCAGTCTTCACATGACTGTCTAATATGTAAATGTAGGTTAAAAATACATCATACAAATGTGAGTAGTTACACACAGCACTATATATACATATCTCTAGAAAGCATATATTATGTACGTAAGTTCACATGCAGAGTTCTCACAGGTGCTGTGCAGGCATGGACTTGGTCTGGAGATTATTTGTGAAAACAAGGTGTAAGCAGGGAAAAGAAATGGAGTCTGAGGTGTTCATGTGGAGTTACTGTCAGAAAAACATTGAGGAGAAAGCTTTAGCATTTTAATTTTAGTCCTAAATATAAATAAATCTAAGACTAATGCAGGGCTTGTATTTACATGGCAAGACACTGTACCTTGCTGAAATTCAGCAGCAAGAGCATTAGGCATAAACAGACAAAGAACACTTCGAAACACATGACACAGCTATGATACTGCTACGTAATTTAGACTGTGTTTATCTGTTTTTCTACTACATAATGCTTTGGTCTAATGTACAGTTCTGAGGACTCACAGCAACAGTTGCACATGCTAGGAGATATCTTTATACCAGGAGCTTTACGTACCTGTGAGCTGTTTTTTTAAACCAAAGCTCCTGTTTCTCTCAAATTGGACATTCAAAGTTAGAAGTAAAAATATTGCTCGTTACGATAACGTCATTCAGCGTTGCAATGAATGAGACAGTAAGGTCATTAAGACTGCCTTATAATTTTGTCTTTTTCTGACATTTGAGCACTTGTCGTTGCAATTGTAATCATTATTTTAGTACGATCGAAATGTGTGATTTGGTTAAATTTGATAGACAGGGTTTTTTGCTGCAGGGAAATATTGTTTGTGAAGTTTAGGTAAAAGGTTATTTGATTACAGCTCCTCTATGCTAACATTGCTGGCTTTACATGGTTCAGTCTGGGTGATAAGACAAGTCCCGAGAGAATATAAGTGCTTGTTCTTCGCAAAACCACAGAATAAATATGTACAAATGGATTTAACTTTGATACTGCTGACTTCTTATCTTGGGGGAGAGATTCAGGTTGGAGCATTATTGCCTTGATGTTTTGGATAATCTGGAATTGGCTTACAAATCGGGTGACCAGGGAGATTAGTCTATTTAGTCTTCTTCACTGAAGGGGAAAAAAGCATTTTCTAATTATGGGGAGGCAGTCTCACTGAAATGCAGTATTGCTTGAAGTGAGAACAGTAAGAGCAGACTTGGAGAGAGGAGTTAAACTTAAACGAACTGAGTATTCACTCCAATCTTGCAATAATCTTTGGAAGATGGGATGTGTGAAACTGTCTGGGGTATATGAATCTGTAGTAAAATTTCCATTATTTCTATCAGAAGGCAGGTTTTACTGCTAGAAAAAGGGTACGTTTATAAGATCAAAAAAGGGCAGTATTTACTTTCTGGTAAGATCTCAATTGTAAACTTCAGTAAAGCAAAGTTTGTGGGGAGGGGCAGTCAATTGATTAGAATATTAAATTAAATTGGAATATTAACATGGAGTTGAAGTGGGGATGGAGAATGACACAAAACTTAAATCATGCAAGCCTTTCTTTAGGTTTTGACCTTAAATACTTTGAAATATTCCTTTCTCATCCTTTTCCCCCCACTTCCTAACCCAGGACACAAGGAAAAGAATTGAGTCTTGATGCATATTTTGGACTATACAGAGCTAATATTGCAAGCCTAGAACAGTTACAATGAAGTCTTTGAAAAAGTGGGTTTATGCCAACAGTCTTCTTTGTTTATTGAATTAGCTTAGAAACTTAGACCGTGATGCCTACAACAACATTAAAATAAATTAAATGGGGAGAATTTAATACTTAATATTTTCATTTTCTTGTTCTTCAGGATAGTGGTGATTATCCACTTACCATGCCTGGGCCGCAGTGGAAGAAGTTTCGATCCAACTTCTGCGAGTTCATTGGAGTGCTCATTCGACAGTGTCAGTATAGCATCATTTATGATGAATACATGATGGACACAGTGATCTCTCTTCTGACTGGTTTGTCAGATTCCCAGGTCCGGGCTTTCAGGCACACCAGTACATTAGCTGGTAAGTAAGGTAGTGCAGAGAAGAGTTTTTTTCAAAGGAGTTGCTACTATTTAGCCAGTTTGAGAATTACTCCTAATTTTGATTGAGGTGGAATTTGACCAGCACTGAGAGCTCTGGAAAGCTTGATCAAATCCACGTACCATATATGGTATAACTATACTTAAAATACACTGTTCCGTTCAGAAAGGAATATGCTGAGGCACTTAATCTCAGAGTTTCATGTCATACCCAGGGGCCTCCAGTGAATCCTGTGAATCAAAAGTGGCATGCTTATATTTTGTATTTTGTTACTAGTTTTTCATTTGTTGTATAGAATATCTTCATAATGTTGTATTTTAGAGTACAAATTTCTTCTAAATAAGTGCCAAGAAAATTGTATTATCAAAGAACTTCAGTCCGCTGAAAAATAAAATCTATACCTTCACTCTTGAGAAGTGTTAGGTTTGGGAGCACTGGGCCATAGTTGTAGGTCTCACTGTCTTCTGCCTCCAGCCATGCTGCACTTTTCAACACCGCTGCCTACATCTAAGGAAAGCACTGGGTATATCATTAGATAGAAATAAGCTTTTCTAGAGTATATTTCATCAGACCTATATAACATGTCTCAGGTAAGATGGATGAATTGCTCTCTAGAAGTAACTATTTTTCTCCAATTACAAGGCAATACTAGGGTGGCTAGCTTGGATGTAGGTGTCTAAAGCTAGTTACGTCAGGTGATATCTTTCTGCTCATCTCATGTGGTGAAATACATCTTATTGGAAGATTCTTCTCCCTAGGCTGTTCATAGATCATGCCAAATATTTGAAGCGTTTATAGGAGACATTTGTCATAATCTGAATATTTCTACTGCCAATATTTGTTCGTGATTTAGTCTTTCTGCAATCAGCTGCTTACAATTTTGTTCAGGTTTCCAAGTGTAATACCCAGCGTCCAACAAATTCAATCAGAATTTGTTTAAAATTTCGTCTCTTCCTGTGAATGTAAGTAAGAGGCAGATTTCCAATGATAGTGAAAAACCAACTCCAGATTTGATTGGAGTTTGATTTTAAAATTAAAAACCAAAACCTTCAACTCACAGTGGCTGAACTCTTTTGGAAACCTATCCCCTTGCATTCTTCACCTTACTCAGTAATGGAATGGTAAAAACATGAATTATGGAGGCGTAAGTTTCCAGGTTTAGAGTTTGCCTCTACAAATTCAGTATTCAAAGGTGAACACTATTTGAGCTGCAGATAATCTGCTGGAAATCTGTGCCTATTATTTAAACTGAGATGGAAACTGTATTCCTCTCCAGCTGATATTGACTATCTTCAATTCCAGGTGATTTTGATTTGCTATTTGCTTAGATTGTCGTTGATTGTTTTATAGGAGATAGATAATGGAGTGAGGATAATCATGTATGCAGTCTGGTCTCTTATTTTGATTGTTTCATCTTTGTGTAGGACAGATGTTTAAGAGGTTTGACTGAAAAGATAGGAAACAGCATCATCCATTGGAGGCGATACCCAAGACCTGTGCTATGTGGAAGAAATAGTTGCTATCATTTGGAATGGATTATGTAGCTAGAAACTTCAAGCAAGGATAAGCAAATGTGAAGGCCAATGTTCATCACAACTAGCTTCAGTTATTTAAGCCGCTGCTGGCTTCTTGCATTAGATGTACATGTATCTAGCGCTTACATTAGGAAAGGGGGCTGCTGAAGATAATTTTCCAATGATAATACATGCCATTTATTTATTTATTTTAACACACAGAGCTTTGTTTTGATTCTGCAAATTTCCTTGAAGCTAGTTTTTGCACATTTAATTATGTTGCTATCCCGCAGAACAGAGGTCAGCATGATGCCATGGAGCTCAGTCTTGATAAAGATTATGAAAATCTACTTGTAGAATTTCATTTATTCATGAAGGAGTGTTTTTGTGCTCTTTGTTTTCAGTTTTCCTCTGTGCTAGCTAATTTGAATGAGAAATGATTCATTATAGCAAGAAACTAAGGCAGAAAGTACATGCGGGTGCTTCTAGAGTTACCAGCTTTGAGCAACAGCAAGATAAGACAGAGTTAACATAAGAGTAGCTTCACTTCTCCATTTGCATAGTTGCTTTTCTGCCTTGAAGACAATGCTTCATATTTAGCCAGAGAGGATGTGATAGTGATATGCCATGTAACCACACAGAACATGGGAAAGACCCTTATTAATGTTTTTGTAAACATAAATGAAGACAGAAAAATATACATGAACAGTATTATATCCAGCATGTGTGAAAATGCATATAAAGGGATACATGAAGTTCTGATTGTATTTTCATACACCTATACACTTGACTTTAGAGCAATGTCAGACTTACTTTCAGAGAAACAGTGCTGTGGTCCCTTGTAAACTGAGCTATTAATCCTTAATAGCTATTGGTTAAGAGTTACCCTTAGCATGGAGGCATCTATAGTGATACTTAATGATTCTTAGTAGAAGAATGTATGTAACTCCACAGTAACTGGCTTCATGGTGTACACTGATCCTGCTGATTCGCATGCTTGCTCACTGACCTTATGCACTCAGAACTTGCATAATTTTCTGGAGAAGATGGTAAAGAATATTGCCTGGAGCTCAATGCGGTATATACAGTCTCTTTTCTGATCTTAAGATGAGTCAAGTGACCTGAGTATTGCTTGGGTGGGAAGTGCCTTTCCAGATGGCTTTGCGTCAGGGTCAAGTTGGTTATTTTCTGAGTGAGTATGGATCTGCTGAGGCAGTATTTTTTAACTCTGACTACAGGTAAAGAGTCATATTCTGTCTTCTGCCTTTGCAGCTATGAAGCTTATGACTGCTCTTGTGAATGTTGCCTTAAACCTGAGCATTCATCAGGATAATACACAGAGGCAGTACGAAGCTGAGAGAAACAAAATGATTGGCAAAAGAGCTAATGAAAGATTGGAGCTGCTGCTTCAGAAAAGAAAAGAGGCAAGTGAAAAGATGAATTTTTTTTCCTGGTTCATGTGCATTCCGTCCAACAGAAAGCCCAGGGTGGTTTGTGACTTGAGTACCTTAGTGAGAAACAAGAGATTAGTTCTCCAGTCATGTTTGTGTGATCTCAAGCATATTACTTGGGCTACATTTTTAAATCTTGTATTAACACGTTCAGTTCAGTTTGTGTGCTGCTCTGCACGCACAGGATAATTTCTATTCGCAGGCTTGTGTATATGACCAGGCAGGAAGAAAATTAGTCTGAAGTTGTAAGTAGCAACTGTTTTGGTTATGCAAAAAGATTTTGAACAGAGGATCACATGTAGTCCCTCACTGCACTGCCCATTTCTCCCTTTGATCACTGCAATTATTATATAGTGTCTCATTAGTACTTCTTTTTGTAGCTACTTTCAAGAAACACTGGAGTGGGGGCTATAGCACCTGGTCTCAGGGAGAAGAAGCTAGGGAGACATTAAAGTCGCGTTTAGTAAGTACCAGTCTGGCATTAGGTGAGCAAAATCATTAGAAGGTTGCTGTAATCATCCCTGAATAAAGTATTATATCCCAGGAAATTCAGTTTTAGAGTTGTACTTAAAAGAAATTTAAAGACGACAAGTAGAAAATTAATACATATACACTCAAACAGCCATAATCTGTAAAGATGCCATGTAAAACTCATAAGATTGATTAAACAATTGAAGTATATATGACTTAGATTTAAATTTCTTATTTTTAATATATTATTCTTTAATATATTTCCTCCACCACTGTTTTACTCCATGGCAAATTAAAAATGTCTGGGTGCTTTACCTTGGATTCTTTTAGGTATAACTTTGACTCAAAATTGCTTGACTTTATAGTCTTTGTCTGGGGATAATTACAATTATGTATTTTTATTTTTATTTTACCCCTACAATCTGTAACACCATTTTATTTGGCTTTTATAATTCTTAAAAATCATGCATTAAGGTACAAAGCAAGAACAATCTCTCCTGCTCAAACTCCAAGGGAAACATTTTAAATTAAATATGAAATTCAACGTCAGCCTTAAAGCATTTTAAAAAGCTTTGTCAAAATAGCTGGAGCACAGCTTCTATTCCAGATTTGTTGATTGTTGCTTTCAATTTCCAGAGAAGGACAAAGTCACTAATTACATTGATTAACTTGGTTTCATATCTCTGTGTCTATGGACATCCTCTATACTCATTCCTTCAGCTGTTCTTTGCAGCGTCTTTTGGAGATGCAGTATATAATTGCTCTGGGGAGACTTCGAAGCAATGATGCCAGGCTAGCAGCATAGGGCTGTGAAACCCTGAAAGAAGAATGAGCATTTGGCAAACCTTAATTTTTGATATGTATGTTCAGTCTCTCATATCACTACTCACTGTAGCTAATCAAGGTTTTGCATAGGAGTAAGCCAGAGAGGAGTGGTGGTGATTGAGTATGTCCTCAGATACATGGTGTTAAGCATGGTAGAGGGCCCTGTATAGAAGGCATTTATCAGGATTAGATAGCATAATGGCTCTGTGTAAGAATTCCTAACATAATGCTGTATATTTCCTGTGTTTAGATGTGCTGAATTTACAATAAATAGTATTCTGTGCTGGCACTTTCTTAGTTGATTCTTTTGATGTAGTGCCATCATAATAAACCCTCATAAGCACATACACGGGCATGTGTTTATCTTCATGAAGTTATATGGGGACAGTTCACAAGCTAAGTGTGGCAAATCAATCTGAAGTAGAAGAGGTGGAACACACTCTCTGAAGTGTTTCATTCTCATGTCATCTTCTACATGCCTAATGTGAGAGCAGCGCGTGAAGGTCTATACTCATCAACGAGATTTTCAACTAAACTGGATGATCTATGTAACAATCTGCCACAAAAGAGAAGAAGTTGTGTTTTAGTTGCTGCCAGTAGTAACTCAAATTTTGTGCTTGTCATACATGTCTTTTTGAGCTTCTCAAAATCCTCGCAGAGTCAACAAGAGAATGTTTCCCTTATTTTTACTTAGGTTTAAGGGGGGGAATGTTATATCACTTTTGCATTGGTCAGAGCAGGAATCCCGAGACAGAAATGCTCTCTCAAGATGCCTGAAGTTAAACACTCAAATTCAAGTACATGATCTAGAAAAGCTGAAAGTGTAAAAAGCAATTGCAGTTTTGGAGAAAATTCATATTTTTCAAAGAATTGTTAATTCATTACTGAATGTAAAATACATTTGAGAATTATATCTTTTAAATGTTAGCACACAAAAGTAAAAGGAATCTCACATGGACCTACTGAATCTCTGATTCTTCTTCTACACCAGCTCTGCCCCAGCACCTGGATCCCTGTTTCAGTTCTATAGCTGATAACTTACCATGTTTATAGCAAGCTGTAAATTCCGTGCAGAAAAAGAGGGAGGAAGCCATCCATGCTGTCCCCTCATCTATACTGCTTAGATTAGTATGGTGCTGCTCCATTTTGCACTCAAAGGAATGTCAAAGTACGCTTTTCTTCAGTATCTTAACCTTCTCATGGCTCATAAAGTTCAGTCTCTCCTACCTCTGTTCTGTGGTGTGTTTTTATATTAATGATTCATACCCAGAGTTCTCTGGGAGCTTCCCCTTTCCCTTTCAGGGCTTCAGTAGTTTTTCAAAAAGCCTCCAGAGGCTTCTTGGTTCATTCCCATCCTCATTTTACTCCACAGTCTGTGCTAGGTTGTCTCTAGCCCCATGTTTCTGTGCGTATTTGCCTGCCTGTAGCCTGTGAAGTCAACCAGCTGAGGAGTGCTTAGAAATTCACACTCTATTTTGGGTTATGTATTCTTGAACAAGCATTTAGTCTGTGCATATTGGGTTGAGCTGATGCTGAAAGTAGGGCTTCTCCCAGGAGCCCTGTCTAAATATGCTTGTTTTGTGTACCAGCCCTTTGGTATACACAGAGCTGGTGTGCACCCAACTTTTCCCTTTGTACATAATCCCTTTTACTATGAAATTAATTTCTTTGGCAGATGTTTGACAATTTAGTCAAAAAACCTCAATGCCTTGGTTTCCCCATATGCAAAATGGAGACAGCACCTCCTAACAGTTTAGGAAACTGGGAGACTTCATTTACTGAATTTTGCAAGCTACTTTAGATCTTATCTGGAAGATGCTGTAGAAATATTTATAAACATGGCTTGAAAAATATAAACCCCTAGGTGAAAGTGTTTATGAGCTCATGCTATGCAAGAAGTCAGAACAGCTGATCATAATTCTGCCTCTGGCTTTAAGATTTTTTATCTGTTAAATATGTATGTCCATAATTATACAGGTTTTATTATTTTATGCATATATGCAGTCTGTACTAGCAAGGTTCTGCTGTGGTTTTCATACTGAAAATGTGGAAAAATTCACATTCATACATGTTGTGGTATTCTGCTTTGACATTTTGACATTAAGAAATACCTTGATGGAAGAATGATGCCTTTGAGTGTAGTACCAGTTCTTCTCCAAAAGCTGATTGTATAGAATTGGCGTCATCTTATTTAACAAAGCTGCATTTTGGTGTAATTAAGTCATACTTATTTAGTTTAGTACAAAAGCTGACACTATGGGAATACTTTAATTGATCCCAAGATGTTCCTTTAGGATGTATCAACATATTCACTGACACATAGTAAGCTTTCCATACTACTTAAAAAATGTGCTGATATTACACAGGAAATCCTAAAAAAAATCCTAAAAAAATGCTCTTATTTATAAAAACACATTCATAACATCTTTATCATTTGGGTTGGGTTTTCATTTGGGTTTGGTTTGGTTTGGTTTTTTGCAGTCTAAGGCCTGGATGTCAGGTGTGCTCCAATGTTAAGCACCCGTGCTCTGATTCTGGAAAGCTTCCTGGTTCAGGAACTCAGTTATCATGGGTGCTGAAGTTAAAGCAACTGATATTCATACTTGAGATTGAGAACATCTTTGAGTACTTTCCTTAAATAGGACATTGAATTTTTCCGAGGGGATTCCTGACCTGTAACCAGCTTCATTTCTGCAGCTGTCATTCACTCACAGTTCTATCCATTTAACTAATATTACAGGACTACTGACATTATGGAACATAGAGAATCATAGAATCATAGAATCGTTAAGGTTGAAAAAGACCCTTAAGATCATCGAGTCCAACCATTAACCTATCACTGACAAGACCACCACTAAACCATGTCCTCAAGTACCATGTCTACCCGTCTTTTAAATACCTCCAGGAATGGGGACTCAACCACTTCCGTGGGCAGCCTGTTCCAGTGCCTGACTACCCTTTCAGTGAAGAA